CCGGTTACTATGCTTTCATAATGCATTTATGAGCCACAGCTATTGTTTGTAGTGTCTAGGTTTATATGAAACTATTTTAATCATATTGCTAATTACCTAAATATAGTTCCTCCTTTGTATGACAAACTAGAGCACTTATTGTATTTAAAAAGGGCATGAGAAAGAGAATTAAAAAGGGTTGTTGCGGACTAGAATATACGTGGCGATAGAGTTAAAAAAACTTCCAACTCAGCGTTGTATGGATATCTAGCATACAAACAGAGGAGAAATAGCAACACGAGGATTTTTACGTGGAAAATTCTGAAAGAGGAAAAATTATGGGGCCACACCAAGTTGAAAGAGTTCACTAGTGTTTCTTTGAGATACACGAGGCTGACTCGTCCTTGAAATTTAGGACGATCAGATTACAATGAATTACTTCTAGATTGAATTCCAGTTACAACATTGGGCAGAGTTCTGGCGTCACTTGGAGATCGGGAGGAATTCTGGCGTCACTTGAGCTTCAGGTAGAATTCTGGCGTTTCTTGGGTGTTCAAAAGAATTTCGGCGTCACTCGGGCTTTGAGAAGAATTCCTGCGTCACTCAGGCATCAGATAGAATTTTGGCTTCACTCGGGCGTCGAGCAGAATTCCGGCGGTGGTCGTGGTCCTCTTGGAGGAGTTTCTTCCCTCCAATCCATCCTTCTTTTGCTCTTCTTCTTCTCTTCTCTTCTTCTTGATTTGGTCCCCTCTTAAAAGAAATGAGGGGTCTATTTATAGATTTCTATAGTGTCATGACCCCTAAATAGGTGAGAGATTAGGGGCAAAGGTGGAGTGGTTCAGATGGACGACTGATATTGAATCCTTTGATCGAGGATCATTCATCTGACATTTGAAAGTTTTAATGATGTCGTAATTCAACGATCTTGAGCTCGTTGGATTCGTCTCGTCTAGCCGCTCGATTCAACTATATGCATGTTTTGTTTGAAAACCATTTGGTAACATAAATTGTGGTTCGAACTTTCCAACAGCTCTTCGGGTCCTTGTTTTGGATCTATTTGGGCTCGGATTGAGTCGAATTTGGTGTCCTTGTTTCTAAGACACTCCGTTTGACTATAAGTTTACTGAAAAAGGAGTTTGGGTGATCCCAAATTTAATTTTTGAAGTTTCTAGCTTGATTTAGCTTCGAGATTCGTGCCCGATCAAGATGATTTTTTGAGTATATATTAGTTGCCCCCCTATTTTCGGACATCAATGCACCGGATGTACGAAAATACTCGTTACATACTTTGGAGAATTTTCTATGTGATTTAAAATATGATTTTTCATGTAGGAGCCTTAAATGGCTTTAAAAATGCTAAAATTGAGCCTGAAATGTCGGAAAATGATCATAGGGACCGTAAAATTGTCAAATTTGACCTTTCCAAGATAAAAATTTGACTCAGAATGGAGTGGACAGCCGAACCGGCCCACTGATCGCCACCACCGGTGGCCCAAAACCACGTACTGGGCCCGCATGCCCGTGCCGCTGCTTGCTTGCGGATCGCCTTAGCCTGCGCAATCGCAGCGCCCGTGACCTTCTTGGGGCCCGCCTGGGCCAGCTCTGCGGCCCGCCTGGCTTAGCGCTGATTTGGGCCCAATCCGTCTAGCCTAGCATTGACCCGCCACCGGCTCGCCTGATCCACGCGGTTCCAAGCACCTGTTTGCGAACAGGGGCCGATTCGGGCCAGTCGCTGGCGATTGCCTGAACCGCTAGTAGTCATAGTAATTTTCTTTTGTAAAATAATCGAGAAAAATAAAATAAAATCAAAAAATTTCAAAAAAAAATTAAATAAAATTTAAAAAATTCTGAAATATTCCAAAAAATTCTAGAAACTTCTCTTTTCCTGTTTTTCTTCTTGCTCTAGAGGCTTTCTGCTATTTTTCGTAGGTAACTTTCCCTACTTAAATTCAATACTCCTCTTTAGTGTAGAATGAAATTTTTTCTCTTTTATTCTAACTTTCTAACATGGGACACTACAGGAAACTCTACGGTTTGTCGTTGGCATCCGGCGGTAAACCTATGACATGTCGGCGGTGTAACCGTCGTAACTTCCTTTGGCTTGCACCACCGATAATGTTACCGGCAGTTTATCGGCAGTATACACTATAATAATGAAGGATTATATACCAGCAGCTTAATGGCCGGTAGACCACCAGTAAAAACACCAGCGATCACCGGCGCTTAAACTGCCAGAACATAACCTGCGGCACGAACCGCCGAAAAACTACTGGTGAAAAAAACCGTTGGAATAAACCATCGGTAATGGTTTCCAACGCTATTTTTTCCAGCTATTTTTGAACCGCCGACTAGCCACCAGTGTTTCTAGTAACCATCGGAAAATAAATAGTAATTACCGAAATAAACCGCCGGAAATGAGTGAATTTTCTGTAGTGGCAAGTATTCCACTATTTTTCATAGCTGATTTTCTCTACACAAAATTAGTGCCCCTTTCATATTGAAGTTCTAATTTTTTTTCTTATTCTTTCTTCCCCGTTTTCTTCTTGCTTTAGAGGCCTTCCAATATTTTTTGAAGGTGATTTTCCCTACTCAAATTCAGTTATCCTCTTCTTGCATAGAATTGGACTTTTTGCAACTACTTCTCTTCTTTCACTTCTCTCTTTAAGATCCTACGGCCGAGGAAAAATCAACGATTATCAGCATACGGTTGGTAGTCCGATGAAAGTCCCTTGACGGGTAGAAGCCCAATGACGGGAGGTAGCGCAATGTCAGGTAGAATTCTGACAAAAGTCTCGTGACGTGTAGAAGTTCTGTGATGGTAGGAAGCTCAGCATCGGGTGGAATTCTGATGAAAGTCCAATAACATGCAGAAGTTCTACGACAGGAGGAAGCTCAGTGTTGGGTGAAATTATGATGAATGTCCCGTGATGTGTAGAGCTAAAGGAGAGAGTTGGAGGATATGTTTCTATCAGTAGCTGAGGGAGAAGTCGATAATGATTGATATGAAGTAAAGGACCACCAGCATACACCAAACGAAGAGCCAATGATGGCGGGTGTTCAATGGCATTTTGTAAAGGCAAAATGCATCCATACGGAAGTGTGTTGCCAATATATATCTTTTTTATGGATGATGTAAATGTATTTTTTGATTTCAACTTCTAGTGATAATAAATGTACACTTGAACTTGATATATAATTTTGCAATGTAAATCCAATGATATTGTATATGAAGTTGAGATTATTGTATGCGCTCGATGCTTATCTTTCATTTGAAATAAACTCGTACTTCAAAGAAAACTAACTTGTTTACACCTCTTTAAGGTATGTTTTCATAAATGTGTCTTTCATGCTCTTTGAGGTTTTTTAGCCTACTAAGATTTTTGTAAGCTTTTACCTTTTGAGGTTTTTATGCCATCCAAGATTTTGTATTCATGTGTAAAAGAGGGTGAGAAAATTCATCAAGAATATATGACCTATTCAAGATTGTATGTCAGAACCCTGCTCAATAACGTTAACCTATGTTGATGAGGTCGAGAGAAACTATCAAGGATGTAAGACCTATCTGAGATTGTATGTCAGAGCCATGCTCGATGAGGTTAACCTGTATGGAAGAGGTTGAGAGAATCCACTAAGGATATAAGATATATCCGAGGTTGTATTTCAGAGCCTTTGCTCGATGATATTAACCTGTGTGGAAGAGGTCGGATCAAATCCCCCTATGATTGATTATCCGATGATTTAGATATAATATAGATTGTGTATTTCTCGAATCACGAAAAAAAGTTTGAGAAGTTTTTTTATCTTTTATAGGAGAAAATAATATCACAAGAATGTGAACATCATATTACTATATTATATAAGACAGTACAGTAATTCCCTAGTATGATTTAGTGATATACAAGTTACAATGTACTCAACACAAAAGATATACGTACGGGGAGAATACAAGATTTAACTTGGAAGAAGATGTCAAGGATATCAAAGTGACACCCTACTTAACATAAAAGAGATATTATAAAATAAGACAAGTAGTATTAATAATACAAATGCTTGAAATGTGTGATTGTTCATCAATCTCACCAACCATTTGAATATTATTCAATGAGTGTCTTTGTTATTAATTTTGCCCCCAAGTGGGACGAGCTTCATCTCAAGTAGGTGGATCTCGAATAAATTGTCGAAGATTGCCCTGGTGGATAAGTCTTTCAATCTCATCCTTGAGTTACTTACAGGCTTCGGTAGTGTGACCATGACTACGATGAAAGTGACAGTACTGATCTGGATTTCCTGTGTTCGGCTTCAAAGGATTCGATCATTTCACTGTATCTCGATCTCGAACGGTCATTAATACATTTGCTCGAGATGTGTTCAGTGAGTTATACTCCTTCTTGTGTTGAGGTTCCCATCACAATAATAGAGGCCTAGGAGGTAGATTATTCTTCCATTATTTCTTCTATTGCCATTGGTTTGCTCAAAAATTGCTTGCTGTGAGCATTTATGGCTTCATCAGCTAAGATTTGCACCTTCACATGATGAATCAGGTCGGCATATAAATGAACAGTATCATGCTTGAGTGCCAAATTGAATGGGCTAGGACGAAGGCCTTTAAGAAAGACCCCAATCATTAATTCAGGTTCTACTCTTGTAATTTGTTGAGCCTCTATGAAAAATCACTGAAAATACTCCTTCAATAACTCACCTTCATTTTAATGGATCTTAGAGAGGTGGGAAGAATGCTTAGCAATTCTTCAATTGGCTACGAACTGTTCGACGAACACTTTGATCAATTTGATGAATGAAGGGATCGTTCTGGAGCGAATAGAATCACGTTCGAGCCTGTCTCTTAAGTGTGGAAGGAAAAACAGGACATAGGAGTGCATCCGAGGCTTGTTGGATATGCATGTTCATTCTATAGTGATTGATATGCTCATATGGGTCAGATGTATGGTCATAGGACTAGATGCTTAGTAGTTTGAAGCCAACCGGAATAGGGCACTGAAGAATGACTTCAATTAAAGGTGATGACTCTTGGAAGCTCTGATGTCGATGCATTTGCCTCACATCTCCTCAGGGGAAATCTTCATGTACAAATCTCCGCAATTCATGATGTAGGGCATTGTGAGGGAGCTTATCAATGTGCCGTTGGGATGAGTCCTCTGGGAGATCTGGAAGAATGCAAGGTTGCCGAGTTGTGGGTGAAGGATGTGTAGAACTTGTTGTATCGACAAGTTCATTATCTTAGCAGATTGTGGATGTCTTCCTAGCGGAGGAAGTTAAATCTCTACTTGAAGATGTTTGAGTGGAACATCTTTGGCTAGTGGTGGAACTCGAGGGAGAAGAACCTTCTCCCGTTGTGGAAATGTTGGCTTCCGAGTCTCTCACAAGAGTTAAAGGATCTAGCTCTGAGATTCTTCCATTTTTCGGATTCTCTCTTCTAAGGAAGGGCCCGAGGTTCCTTCTCCAGTAGCATTTTGCCCCCAGGATAAAAAGAGGAAGATATCGGATGTCTATAATTTATAGACTGATTTCTAGATTGGTGGTAGTTTGAGAGAGAAGCTCCAATGATTGGACTATTACGCCTGTTGATGTTTCTCACAGACGGCGCCAAACTATTACGGAATAGAATATACGCAGCGATAGAGTTAAAAAACTTCCATCTCAGCATTGTATGGATATCTAGCACACAAATAGATGAAAAATAACAACACAGAGATTTTTACGTGGAAAATCCTGAAAGAGAAAAAATCACGGGGCCATGCCCAGTTGAAAGAGTTCTACTAGTGTTTGTTTGAGATACAAAAGTCTGACCCGTCCTTAAAATTTAGGACGATCAGATTACATTGAATTACTTCTAGATTGAAATCCAGTTACAACGTCGGGTAGAGTTTTGGCATCACTTGGAGATTAGGCGGAATTCTAGCATCAATTGAGTGTCAAGTAGAATTCTGGCGTTTCTTGGGCATTGTAAAAAATTTCGACGTCACTTGGGCATTGATAAGAATTCCGGCATCACTCAGACATCAGACAGAATTCTGGCGTCACTCGGGCGTCGAGCCGAATTCCGATGGTGGTCGTGGAGGTGTTTCTTCCCTCCAATCCTTCTCTTCTTCTTCTCTTCTTCTTCTCATCTCTTCTTCTTGATTCGGTCCCCTCTCAAGAGAAATGAGGGGTCTATTTATAGATTTCTGGAGTGGCATGTCCCGTAAATAGGTGAGAGATCAGTGGCAAAGATGGAGTGGATCGGATGTACAGCCGATATTGAATCCTTTGATTGAGGACCGTTCGTTAGACATTTGAAGGTCTTACTGATGTTGGAATTCATCGATCTTGAGGTTGCTGGATTCGTATCGTCGAGCCGCTCAATTCGCCTATAAGCATGTTATGTTTGGAAACTGTTTGATAACTCAAATTGTGATTCAAAGTTTCCAACAACGCTTCGGGTCCTTGATTTGGACTCATTTGGGCTCGGATTGAGTCGAATTTGGTGTCGTTGGGTTCATATTTCCGAGACGCTCAGTTTGACTGTAAGTTTACTGAAATCGGAGTTCGGGTCATCCTGGATTTAATTTTTGAAGTTTCCGGCTTGATTTTGCTTCTAGATTCATGCTCGATCAAGATAATTTTTTGAGGATATAACAGTGGCGTTCAAGAATATGATTGTGCAAGTCTAACTTGACAGTTGAAACACCAGCAGAGAAACATACTTGCAATGCATTAAAAGTGAGAGACGGGAAGGTTTAAGACACTCAAATCAAGAGTCCTTTTCTTCCAACTACACTTAAGCCCTACATTGCAATTAACCTCCCACAACACCAAGGTTCAGCACAAGTATCCTAATTAGTCAGTCAAAGGAGAACTCATCCACACAGCTCAAAAATCCATGATCCGTGGCCTTTAAGGAGATAATAATCTATATAAACATATAATAAATTTGACAAATCTAACAATCTCCTCAAAACCAGGCAACCAGAAGGAAGAAAGGCCACCACTCTAATCTTTGAATATTGTATCGAGGAGAGAGAGAGAGAGAGAGAGAGAGAGAGAGAGAGAGAGAGAGAGAGAGAGAGAG